CACCAAGGATAATCAGTAAATATCAATAGGTCTACAGGGGTTAGACTATTCTGATCATTATTCTTTTTCTGCTGTATATTCTCGTAAGTGCCTGCACTGTGCTTTTGGCAATTATGTCTTGCCCCTTGACCCCTGTCACTTCATGATGCATTCAAACCCATTGTCCTTGTTTCCCAGTTGAGCATCTCTGGTCCCCACTCTAAGTTCTGGCATACAGAGGAACAATAATTACAGAGCTCTTTAGGAATACTAGTTCTCTCCTCACAAATCCATTTTTCAATATTTTATTGAAGTGAACATTTTATGAACATTCCAATGTAGCAGATTAGAATTGACATGACAGACCCACTCTGGCACTACCATTTCCCTAAGTTTCTGAATCCCCTCATGAACAATAAACTATGAAATATCAGGCACCTCTCTCTCATTCACAGTGGGCCATATTTTGATCTATACTTCTGCCAACCAGTGAACTAAACTATTAAACCTTTCTTTACTCTGTGAGCTGCAACATTAAACTTGGAATCACTACTTAACAGGCCTGAATCAATAATACACCTCATCCAGGTGTACGATTTTCCCACCATTATCCCACACACAAAATACACTCACATATTGCTCATTAAGCCTCAGATTATAAGAGAAAATTCAAGAAGTTGTTGAACCTCCTCATAGGTCACACTATGTACCTCATTCTTTATTTTATTTTATTTTTTTTGGTTCTTCTCGGGTACCGGGAACCAAACTCACGACGTTGCGCTTGCCAGGCAAGCGCTTTGCCGCTGAGCTAAATCCCCAGCCCCTATGTACCTCCTTCTTAACAGTCTCCTTCAATTTGAACTGGGCTATAGGCATCAAGGCCATAGTGCATGGCATGGCTGGGTCCCAACTAGTTTGAGTATTATCATGCTTGATCAATACAGGATTAGTTTTCTCATTTATACTGGCAGAAGCCAACCCTACAGGGGTGGGGATGTGTATGCCTCCACCATTGAGGGTAGAGAAATTTCTTCTGGCAAAATAATCTGAAAGTCTAGATGCTCAACACTCTCAGCCTCCTCAGGACCCACATAAACATTTCCATCGCAGTAAACGGGATCCCATTCTGTTACAATCAGAGCCCTACCTTTACTGCAGGTACCTTTTAAGGAATAACATTAAATTTACACTATATTTCAGCTAGTCAAATTATTAGGGCATGGGTTTGGGTTTTTGCAATCTTAGTCGAATGGCTAAAGGAGAGGAAATTACCTTTCAGGACATACTGGAATCTTTTAAGTTTTTTTGTTTTCCTTTATTTATTTTGTTTTGCCCCTTGTTTTCCTTTATTTATTTACCCTCACCGGTAGAAGAATATGATTGCTCCTGGATTGGCTGAGCTAATTGCTATCCTTCATTAGTTTGCACAAAGATGCTAAGAGCAGCCAGAAATCATCATTGTATTTCTCACTCTGCCAAAAATATTCAAATGTTTCATAATGGAAATTATTTCTTCTATTAAATAAGTGGCAAATTAGGACAGTAAAATGGATTTACATTGTATTGTTTTAAACAGTTCACAGCAAAGACTATTAGTATTCCCCACGGTCCTAGAAAGAGAGACCATGGCAACTTTAGATCTCATCAAATTACAGAGCCAACTCCAGGAAACCCTAAAGCTATTAAAGAATTTAATCTTTAAAATTCTGTTTCTAGAGCCACTTATAGTACTAAAATCTGTATCAGTCAATATTTACTAGAGAAACAGATTTATCGGCAGATACACAATATATTTAATAGATTTGCATACAATGGCCACTCATAAAGTCAGATGTGGAAGAGTGCAAAAGGTCTGTCCATGAGCTAAAGATCTAAATCATCTTGGGGAATGCCTGGAGCCCACTGTACTGTTCCATCCAAGTTAATCTGAGAAGGCTGAATGCTATACCAGAAAGGCTGAGTGTTTTGTGCTAGAGGATGAAATGTCTGCACTGGAAGCCAGGAGGCAGTGTCAAAGGTGAGGGAGAATACTAGAGTTTCTCTGAAGAAAAAAAAAAGCAATTTTTCCTTTTTGTATCTCTTTTATCCATTTCAGGCAATAATCCTCCTTATTTTGGGTCTTTTACACCCAGAACTATGCCTTTCTAATTTAAGTGGGCATTTCTTACTCAAGTTGACACACTCAGTTAATGACCTCAAGTAATAAATCTCTCCAAAAAGTACAAAAGACTGTATGATTTATCAGCAACAACAGTAACAAAGGAAATTTGTCAATAGTGTTGTTTTTGGGGGAAGAATGACTATTATTGGATAGCATGAGGCAAAAATCTTTATTCCTGATGCTGACAATGCCATTGCCTTTGGGAATTATTATTGCTTTTATCTAAGAACTTGAAATAATTGCATGAAGGAAATGAGTTTACTAAAAAGAAGATATTTGCTAAATTATGATTCAGATTGTATTCCTTTTTTTGTCTTTTTGAGACAGGGTCTCACTATGCACTTCAGGCTGACCTTGAGTTCACTTTGTAGCCCAGGCTGGTCTCAAATTCACAATGATTGTCCTGCCTCAGCCTCCCAAGTGCTGGGATTACAGGCACCCGCCCAGCCAGATTGTATTCTATTTTATCAATTTTTGATATAAATTTATACAATTTCCTTTTTTATTATCCATAAAGAGCACTGTCTGATATTTGAGGTATGTGACAAACATTTTAAAACACGTCCTTATTCAAACAGTGAGCATGAGGGCAAATTGGTCTACTTGAACTGTATTTTGCCTTTTTAAATAGTTAAATATTTTGTAAATTCTATTATACAGTGTTCTTGCTCTAATTCTGTGGTAGATATAGTGCTATCAATCTATGGTAATATGAAAATATAAGTGCACAAAGAACTAACTACTCACAATGCAGTGCACATTACATACCTTGCTGTAGCCTTAATTATGCCAGACACACAGATTATTTCTCAGTTGGGCAGTATCTTCTAAAATTGTGTCTACTCTACATCTGAAATGTCTGACATAATTCATAGAATGTAATACACTATAGAAGGCAATGTCAAATTTTTATACCCCAGAACATGTGGCTAACTTCCCTGCAGCTCATTTCTGCTTCTTACCATCACCAGGAAGATACACAGTGTAGATTGCTATCACCATCCCAGCCAGTGATGGAATGTTTAAAGTGCAAGGCATTTTTTATTATTAAATCCTTTGGTAAAATTTAAGAACACATAATGATGACATTTATCATATGGAACGTGTGCCTATACATGAGATATCTTGGTGCCTATTTTTTAATTCCCTTCCCTTCCATTCAACCCCTCTTCCCTTTTTTATATATGTTTTATTTCCATTTTACTCATTTTTCTCAATTTTTGGGTTCCTTTTCTTCCATCCTTTTTCCCTCTTCCTAGTTACACTTTCCTTTTGAAAAATTACTTCCTATTTCACACTATCTATTATAGATTTTAGTTCTTGTTAATACTTCCAGTTTGTCGTATCAGAGAGACAATAAACTATTTACATGTGTGTTTGATTTATTTAACTTAACAATATGGTTTCAAGGGCCATCCATTTAGCTATAAATGTCTCATTTTTTATTTTGGACAAAAATGTCTGTTTTTAAATTTAGCTATAAATATCTCAAATTTATCCTTTATAGCTGAATAGTATTCTGTTGTATACAAAACATCGATTTTATCAATTCTTCAGGTGATTGGCTTTGGATGTGTTTCCAAGGTTCAGGTATTACAAAGTGTGCATCTATAAACATGGGTGCACTTATATCGCTGTAGTATGACACTTTTAATTCTTTTGGGAAGATACCCAGCGGCTCTGGGTGGGTAGGCTGGGTAGGCTGGCCAGTTAAGTAGTGGAGGCAGGTAGCCACAGTGGTGGCAGCAGCGGGGAGGGGTGTGGTGCAGGCTGGCTGCGGGTTGCCATGGCCTGGGACTCTGTGGCAGCCACTGCTCGGGGCGTGGCCTGAGTCTGGGGCCCTGCTGTGGGATGGGGAAGGGGGCATGTTGAGCAGGCTCCTGTTAATTATCTGTTAGGGAGAAATCAAAAGCATTGTGTTCTGGTCATCCAAAGGCATTTGGGCTTCAGACTGGGAAAGAGGTGAAGCTGGAGATTCCCCAAAAGGGAGGCTAGCAGAGGCAGGGGGAGATGGATAGTTGCTGTTTTAATTTGAGCCCAGAGAGAGGTATGGGAGAAAGAAGGAAGGAGAATTGCGCATTGGGAGCAGAGAAGGTAACTGTCACACCTACACCTGGTGTGGCAAAATAAGCAGCAGCAGGGCCTATACTGAAACGTCTTCATTTTAAACCAAGGCCAAGAGGGAGCGTGGGTGAGAGACCAAGGGCAGTCGTCACGGAGATGGGTCAGTCCCCAAGCGGAGCCAGTCTCCCTGCCGAGTGCCCAACTGTGACAAGCGCTAGATTTAAGGCACAGAGGGAGAAGCGAGCCTTTTTCCGTCGCAAGGAATGAGAGAAGAGAGCAGAACCGAGAAGCTGTCGACTGCAGAGAGGAAGGAGGTTTAGTGGAGAGGGATCAAGTTTCAAAGAAAAAAAAAACCCCACAGAGCCAAAAGCGGTGGCTTTGGAAGCTTGAAAGCAGCTGCCTGCGCAATGGGCGGGACGGCGTGCAAGGGGGCAGGGCGTTAAAGGCGCAGAGAGTGTTAGAAGCCCAGACAGGGAGCCAGTTTACCAGATCTGAAACACTCAGCATGGCGGAGCTGGCGAGCTGCCTGGATTTATATCGTCTTGGAGGCAAGGTTAGGGAGAAAAAGAAAGAGGAAGAGACAGACTGAGGAGCCGGATCTGAAATGCTTAGCGAGATCTTGCATTGTAGAAGCGGCAGGAGCTGTAGGGACCATGGTCTGAGGATGTTGCCAGGTGGCCTTAGCTGGGGTAGAGGTTCAAGAGAGATTCAGTCCTTCCAAAAAGAGCTTGTCTCACTTCCTGGTTCTTGATGCCATAATGTAACATAGATAACAAGCAGAGACTACCTGGCTTGGGTAACGCCAACATGGCATGGAATTTATTGTGCCTGGGTTGAAGAAGAGAGCATGATAAGACTTTCTGCACTGAACAAAGAGAATCATGTCCTTTTTATAGTGATGGTGGGGGACATTAAGCAGGAAGATCCCAGTGAATATCTGTGGTTAAATTGTTTTGGCAGTCTTGCATCTTAGTGGACTGAGTCCTTTTGGAAAGTGTCCATTGTAAAATTTTGGGTGTCTCTAAGATGTCTCCAGGACCTGCAGAATTGCTTGCCCATCTTATTGCCTTTCCTGTGTTTGCCAGTGACAGCCTCAGTGCTGAGCTGAGTTCCCTGCAGAGAGTAGTGCTTCTGCTGGCAAGCAGACTGGCGGCTGGGAGAGTCAGGCCAGGTTGGAGACTTGCAGCTTTCATACTTGGGAATGTTTACCCTCATCATTCAGGTATTACCTGGAGAAAAGTCTGAAGTTTGTCTGCGGGAGTTGGAATAATTGCTTTTCTTTTATCTTTACTCTTTTGCAGACTGTTACTATCTTGCGACCCCAATGTCTTTATTTACACAAAAATTGAATTCTTCTCAGGGGCCTTATATTCATTTGCATGGATGAAAATGGGTAGATTGAAGGACAGTGTGAAAATCTTGGCAGTGAAACCGACTGCCTCATTTCCAACAGCAGGTCTTGCCTCTATTCCAGTTTGTCCTAGGGATACCCAGACTCATGATGTTTTCTAACATCAGGAGAGTGACTCATTCGTAGGACATTCACCTTGAAACATTTATGACTCACTTTCAGGAAAATTCCAGCGAGTACATTAAGAAAACCATGGAAGCTTTGAAAAACCAGGATTAAAGCCTTTCAGTGCAAGCATTCTTCATTCGAGATGAAATTGTCATCATGGAAGAGAGACTGTACCACAACTTCCTGTGTTAGAATTTATCATCTCAGCTCCACCCAAACTGGTAGACTTTTGCTCCTCAGGTTAAACTCAGCTGGAGGGCCCGTTATGGATCAGGAGCCAATCAGCGATGAAGGTGCGGTCTGTCCAAAGTACCCAATCAGCTGGGCTGAGGGAGGAGGGCACTTCCTGTGTCATGGCGCCAAACAACACTGCTTGATTTCATTACTGAGAACGCCCACCTGACTAGACCACACTTTTCGGTAACTTCTGCTGGCTGCAACCTGCATTCGAAGGATCCTTGGAGACTCTCACGCCACACAATGGTGACGTTGTGGGATGGGTGCAGGGGTGGGGTGGAATTGGGTGAGTTCTGAAGGAAGGGGCTGGAACGAGCTATGGCAATGAATAGTCTCTGCCTCGCTCCAGAAAGTGAGGTCTTCCTGGTTCTTGGTTCCGCATCATCATTTGTCCATTTTCCGCTTTGCTCAGGAAGGGGCGGTTCTGAGTCTCCAGCATCCTATCCGCATTGTGACTCTGCCAGGCCTGAATACCTTCTTGTGTGTCCCCCAGGCACAGCTATATCTCTTCCAGTCGGAGGAGAGCTGTGGCTTTGAGGAAACCCTGGTTTCCACACTCAGCAGAACATTTTTCACTTTAATTGTTTACATGAGACCTCTACTCACAGTGGTGTTATTGTATCAATAATCCTCTTGGTCTCAAAACATTGAGAAATGAGGTGGTGAACCAAAAGGAGGCTATTAGGAGAGATTTTTACTGGAAATAATACTAAGAACTCCCTGATTTCCCGGAAGCATCCCGATGGAGTGGCCATGTGGCTGCTCAGTAAATCCAGAGCTAATTATAATCAGAGCAGAGTAATTGCTCAGTTGGTTTGTGACCACTTTTCACAGTTGTCTCTGGATTTAAAAGAACCACTCTGGTCTCATGATCTCTAACGAATTCCTCAGTATACATAGTTTAAAGGAGACTGGACTTTTAGAGAAAAAACCTGTTTATTTTCTATTTTAAATTCCTGAAAATTCTGGAGCATAGAAGGGAGTAGCTGCAGCTGCAGCTCCTTTTAGTATGGAGGGGACTGCCTTACTTGTTGGACAGAAAGTTTACTCTTGGTCCAGCATTTCAGCTGATTCTATTCTCATTTCAATTCTTACAATAATGTCTAATTTCCCCAATCTGTCTCAACTGCTACCCTCCCTCGGTACCTTATTTATGTGCTAACAAAACAATGTTTTCTTCACTTTTATACTTAAGTGAAGCTTTCTATAGAGTTTAGAATGCTGAGATAGATGGATGGGATGTTAATGTGTTACCAAGGGAGGGGAAACTTCCTGCTAAGGACAACTTCCTGAAAGTGCTGCCTGTTAAACCCACTGAGATACGCATCGAACTGTGGCATCTACAGGGACATACATGTGTGATATTGGTATGATTGGAAAGGGGAAGGGGTTTCATCTGTGAAATAATCAGAGTATTCTGTGGATTGTTTTAAGACATTGTTTTAAGACATTGTTTTAAAAATTGAAACAATGATTGAAGTGGACATTGTAAATACAAATACTGATCCTGGTGTGGTGGTGCACACTTATAATCCTTGCACTCAGGAAGCTGAGGCAGGAGGATCCTCATGAGTTCAAGCACAGCCTGTGCTACACAGTTCATGTAGCTCAGCCTGAACTACATAGTGAGACTCTGTTTCAAAACAAACAACCAAACAAACAACAAAATGAGTTTTGAAATAGTACATTCCCATAGTTGAAAGGGATTTTTGAATAGACAAGAGGAAAGAAAAGTAAAAAGGAAGTGGGTCAGCAGGGAACTTTGAAGAGAGGCATAAGTCAGCAACTACAGCAATAAACTCCTGACGTTAGGTTTTTATAGTGTGATAATAAATGAAGGATTGTCTGCTGGCTTGATCTGAGATTGGGTCGTAGATTACAGGCTTAAAGAATGGAGGGGACTTTCAGAATGGATAAACATTTCTTCAGTGACTACTTACTGGCTCATCTAATCAATTTTGCGGCAAAATTGGAAATTAAGAGACTGATGTAGGTTTGAAAGGGTAGGCATCATCTTTGTAGTAGAATGGGAAGGGCTTTCACCTGGATACAAAAGATTCCAAAGTGTTTCTGGTGTTTTTGATGTTTGTTACTGTACAGGGACTGAACTCTCGAAATTTGCCCTAAGATATAGCCACTCAGATTTTTAGTTTTTCTGTTTTGCTTTTTAATTTTTGAGAACAGGTCTTGCTAAGTTGCCCAGGTCATGGAAATCTTTTGATACTTTTTCCACATCCTTGCTTGTTGGGATGACAGACCTGTGCCACTTTGCTAGATTTAAATTGAGGTTCTTAAAACATCATGATTTACCAAGACTTCAGTGCTGTGGCTGAAGTAAATATCACTGAACCCTTTTGATGTACATGTAATTACATCCACCTGAGAGACTGAGACAGGCGTGTTAAATCAGTCAGCACAGCCTGCATAGCTCAGCAAGACACTGTCTCAATATTAAATAAATATTTTGGGGTATACCTCCGCTTTAACTTGTAATGTTCATGAGGCCCTTAGATTGGTCTATAGCCATGAAAAGAAGAAGTTATTTAGTGCAAATCTTTTAATTTTGAGTTTTACTTATTTTTCACACTAGGGATACATGCTACGATACTTACTTAGGGTTGGGGATAGCAGTAATAAGTCACTGTTCTGAAAGAATCAGGACAACACAGGTCAACACCTGGTGATTTTTTTTTTTTTTTTGATACTGGGACTCGAACTCAGGACCTTGCTCTTGCCAGGCAGGTGCTTGTGCCGCTGAGCTATATCCCCGGCCCCACCTAGCGATTTTATTTTATTTTTTTTTATTTTTTTATTTTTTTATTTTTTTTTTTGGTTTTTCTCCGGTACTGGGAACCAAACTCACGACCTTGCGCTTGCCAGGCAGGCGCTTTTGCCACTGAGCTAAATCCCCAGCCCCTAGCGATTTTAAAGTACATGAGATATTTAGTGTTTTATTATGAATTTTGATTTGTGTTCCATTAATTTCCCCAAATACAGATAAGGATTTGTGTGGTGAGCAATTTTAAAAGATCCAAGGCTTACCAGTAATGTTTGCTTGATCAGATATATTTTGTGCATTTTCAATAAATTTTATTTTCAACGTCCTTAGGATTGCTCAAAATATTTTCCTTTTCAAACTCAAGTAGCATCTGTAGACTCATTCTTTCAACTCTTCGTGTGGTCCTGTGTAGAACATGACACCAGGTTGTTTCCTTTTTGTTTTTGTATTTATTTTGAGATTGGGTCTTGCTATGCCTTTCTCGCTACCTTTGAACCACTGCATAGCCCAGGCTGGCCACAAATTCAAGAGATGCTCCTGCCTCTGCCTCCCAAGGGCAGGGATTACAGGAGTGTGCCACCATGCCCAGCATATTTCTGGTTTGAGTGCTATACACGCCATATTCTTCAGAGCCACCAAATCAGGAGAATAGTATAATACTGTTTGGAAAAAGGAACACCTCTTTGGGGTTTTTTCTATGTTTTTGGTTTTTTGGGGGTGTACTGCGAGTTTTATGCAGAGGTGCCCTCTGGCCATACTGTTCAGCTAACATCACCAATGTGAGGAAAGCAGGATGGAAATTTTCAATGGACAGACACAGGGCTGAGTACTTTCAACAGAAGACACCAAGTATGTGCAAGGTTGAAGAGAAAACATTTCCATTCCTTGTTTTAATTTATACTAATTATGGGGCACCTTCTAACTGTTTAAATCTTGAATCATTGGGTTGCTCTTGAATGTAATCTCACTTTCTCTTCCAAGGTCCTAATGGGCTAAATACAGGCATGTCCAGCACCCTCACTTCCAAAACTGTTTCTCCTTTGGAACAATTCATATCTCTCTGGGGAAAGAGATGACCTTGAACCTTTTATTCTGTGTTCCATGTATGACAAGAAAATGCAATCCCCGAAAACCCTTTAAGTTTGTCTTGTGTTCTTTTTTGTTTGTTTGTTTTGGTCATTTTTTTTTTTTTTTTGAGACAGGGTCTAGCCATGCAGTTGAGGCTGGCCTTGAGCTCACTTTGTAGCCCAGGCTGGTCTTGAACTCTCAACGATCCTCCTGCCTCAGCCTCCCTAGTGCTGAGATTACAGGTGTGTACCACCACACCTGGCTGTCTTGTGTTCTGTATATTCTAATGACAGACCTTCCTTGTTGATATTGTAGGAAAGCCCATGGGAAGGGCCTGTTGTTGAGGGCACAGTTGAGATGAAGCCCAGAGCTTCACTTCAAGCCACCCTTTAGCCTGGCCTCTACGTGGATGTCATCATACAGCATCAAGCTGGAACCCATTCTCTTTTCACACCCATGATGTCAGAAATATAGTGCAGGCAATGAGGACAAGGAAGGCGTATGCAAGTTCAGAGAGCAAGTACTTTATGGAGAGCCCCTGAGCTTGGGTTTGGGGTGCAGAGCTGTGTCCTGTGATTTTTGTTTCCCCCTTCTGAATACCTTTTCATTTAGCAGTTTATTTGTTCACTTCACCTGGTAAGTCAGTGGTGTTCAGGCACTGGTGACTGCACATGAGAAACCATGTGAGTATGTCTCAACATTTTTCTTGAAATCGTAACATATGGCATGAGCAAGGTTTAGAGCAGCTCATGGTTTGAGGCCAGGGATGTTGATCAGTATCAGACAGCACACAGGGTGGCTCTTGATAGAAAGAAATATTGCCCCAAATATCACCTGTGATCTCCTTGACTATCCTATTGCAGTTTTGTATTCCTTCCACTCTTGTGCCCTTGCTCATCAATACTGAGTTATACCCCATGGTTTTATATATGCTTTTTTATGCTGGCTATGATGCCCAGAGATTAATAAGCACACAAATATGTGCTAAAACTGAGCTATACCTCAGCATCATGTATAAATACATGTTTTAATGTGACCACACGGGGGAGTGTTTTAAAGAGTTTATCCTGTGTATTATTTAATTCATTCAGTTTTATATTCCAGGCTTACTTGCATTGCTGTATGTACATGTTAACTCTTCCAAACATCTCCAGTGTTTGTGTCCCTAACATCTTATTTGCTTTTCCACAGTTGTGGGAGAGCAGGCTGGTCTAGTGCTGTCACTGGTATAAATGCCACAATGAACGTTGTCTCTCTGGCTGCCCTAGAAGCAGATGTGAGAAAATGCCGTGGATGTTCAGGAGCCTATTTGCTGGTGCACAGAGTGTATATCCACCTAAAATGTTGATGTACATTGTACACCTGGCCAGAACAAGTACACAGTAGTGTCTATTTCTCA